AGGATTAGGAGAAAGGCAAAGTAGGCTTACAACTTTAAAAGGGTATAAAGAAAAGTTTATTAATAGTAGCTAAAAGGAAGGGTAATAAGAATCCATACAAAACTTTCAGAACACTTCCCCTCTCTCTGCAACCTTTTCTTTCCTACTGACAATGTAAGGAGACAAAACCTAAAATGTTCAGGCAGTTTATGACCTGCTGGCAGGTGGCCCCTGGGAGGCCAAGCCAGCCAGACCTGTTCCATGTTCCCTGCGTTCCATGGGGCCCCACAGTGTCCCAATGATCCCTCCCTTCCATGAGGCCCTGAGGTGCCATAATGCCCCCTTGGTGACATGAGGCCCTGGAGGGTCCTAATGGTCTCCATGGTTCCATCAGACCGCACAGAGCCATAATGGTCTCTGGGTTCCATGAAGCCCCGCTGTGTCACCATGGCCCCTTGGTTCCATGGGCTCCAGTGGTGCCACAAGGATCCCCTTGGTTCCATGAGGTCCCCACAGTGTCCCAGGGATCTCCATGGGAAGGAAAGAACCCAGCCCCAATGTTTCAAGAACAGGTGAGAGGCAGCCCCCAAGAGGCCAAGGGCAGCCAGACCTGTCTGTCCTGGCAGCTTTCAGTTGGGAGCAATCCTTAGATGTATGGAATATTGGAGGTAGAATCCCAGTTTTATCCATGGGCAACACGATGAAGATGGATGTTTTTTTCTTCTAGGAAAGAAAAGCATGTAGTCCAAGTGTTTTGGAAGATGATGGGAGGTGGCCACCCTTAGGCCAATCCTGCCAGACCTGTCTGTCCTGGCACCTTTCATCTAGGGGCTATCCTTGGACGTAGGGCATTTTGGAGGTGGAATCTCCATTTTGGCCATGGGCACCTGGACAGGAAGAAGAGTTCTTTTCATTAGGAAGGAAAGCATAGAGCCCCAGGGTTTCAGAGGCACATGAGTGCCAGCCCTCAGGAAGCCAAGGCCAACCAGACTTGTCAGTCCTGGCAGCTTTTGTCTGGGAGCTATCTTTATTATATGGAATGCTGAAGGCAGTTCCCAAATTTTGGCCATGGGTTCCTGGTCGAGATGGATGTTTTTTTCTCATAAGAAAGAAAAACAAGAAAGAAAAGCACATGGATCCAGTGTTTAAAAGCAGATGAGAGGTGGCTCCTGGGTGGCCAAGGCAACCAGAGCTGTCTGTCCTGGCAGATTTCATCTGAGAACAATCTTTGCATATAAGGAAATTTGGAAGAGGAATCCCAATTTTGGCCATGTGCCCCTGGAGGAGAAGGACAGTTCTCTCTTATAGGAAGGAAAGCCCAGAGCCCCAGTGCGCCAGGGGCAGATGAGAAGCAGCCCTCGACATGCCAAGGTCAGCTGGACCTGTCAGGTGGTCCCCAGGAGGCCCAGCCAGCCAGACCTGTTCCATGGTTTTGGCAATGGACATCTGAAAAGAGGGATGCTTCTTTTCATAGCAAGGAAAGCACAGAGCCCCAGTGCTCCAAGAGCTGATGAGAAGCAGCCCTTGACATCCCAGGATCAGCCAGAGCTGGCAGGTGGCCCCTGGGAGGCCAAGCCAGCCAGACCTGTTCCATGTTCCCTGCGTTCCATGGGGCCCCACAGTGTCCCAATGATCCCTCCCTTCCATGAGGCCCTGAGGTGCCATAATGCCCCCTTGGTGACATGAGGCCCTGGAGGGTCCTAATGGTCTCCATGGTTCCATCAGACCCCACAGAGCCATAATGGTCTCTGGGTTCCATGAAGCCCCACTGTGTCACCATGGCCCCTTGGTTCCATGGACTCCAGTGGTGCCACAAGGATCTTCTTGGTTCCATGAGGTCCCCACAGTGTCCCAGGGATCTCCATGGGAAAGAAAGAACCCAGCCCCAGTGTTTCAAGAGAAGGTGAGAGGCAGCCCCCAAGAGGCCAAGGGCAGCCAGACCTGTCTGTCCTGGCAGCTTTCAGTTGGGAGTAATCCTTAGATGTATGGAATATTGGAGGTAGAATCCCAGTTTTATCCATGGGCAACACGATGAAGATGGATGTTTTTTTCTTCTAGGAAAGAAAAGCATGTAGTCCAAGTGTTTTGGAAGATGATGGGAGGTGGCCACCCTTAGGCCAATCCTGCCAGACCTGTCTGTCCTGGCACCTTTCATCTAGGGGCTATCCTTGGACGTAGGGCATTTTGGAGGTGGAATCTCCATTTTGGCCATGGGCACCTGGACAGGAAGAAGAGTTCTTTTCATTAGGAAGGAAAGCATAGAGCCCCAGGGTTTCAGAGGCACATGAGTGCCAGCCCTCAGGAAGCCAAGGCCAACCAGACTTGTCAGTCCTGGCAGCTTTTGTCTGGGAGCTATCTTTATTATATGGAATGCTGAAGGCAGTTCCCAAATTTTGGCCATGGGTTCCTGGTCGAGATGGATGTTTTTTTCTCATAAGAAAGAAAAACAAGAAACTCGGAATGCCCGTGTGGGGCCAGGGCCGGGTCAGGCCTTGGTTTGTGGTGGGACAGAGCCCCGCCCCCAGCCCTGGCCTGGCAGAGCTGTCAATCACACAGCAGGGGCAGAGCTGACCCAGCTCTGATTGGCCCAGCTGCCAATCAATCACACACTAGCAGCTGGTGCCTACCCTGACTCTGATTGGGCAATCAGCTGCCAGTCCCACCCCAGGGGCGGGCCCATGGAGGCCCAGGGGGTTAAAGGCCGGAGCATGAGGCCAGCCCATGCTCTGGATCCTGCTTTCTGGTGGGGTTCCTGTGTTAGTGATGCTGGAACCCGAGCAGTTGGTTCCTATGTGCACGTTCTTCTATAGATCTTCTGTGTTTCTGTTGTTCTTTATTTCTTCTCCTTCTAATCCTACTTATCTGGAACATTTTTGGGTAACTTAGCATCTTAAGGGTTAAAGGTTTTTAGGTTAAATGTGTGGGATTCCAGGGCACAGGGAATATTCCTCTGTCTGCTCTGAGGAATCCTGACCCCCAGAGAAACACTGCCTTTAACCTTCGCCCATGGAGAGGACTTGCAAGACTTTGAGATAGATTACAATTTACCAAAATGTGAAATAGGTAATACAGAGTAGTATAGTATGTCACTGTCTGTTCAAAATTTTCCTCATTTTTGCCTCCCGATCATCGTGAAAAGGACAGAAACTGGGACCACCAGGGAAAGAAAGAAAGATCCTGTTCTAGGATCCTGGCCCTGCTTGAATTGTCGCCCACCAAGCCAAGCCATTGTTCACTGGTGTGTTTGCTCACCCCATGGAACACTGCTCTCAGTGAAAAGAGAAGGGGCACCTTGCCCTCCTTCACCTGCATCGCTTCGCAGCACTGCTTCTGGAATTTCCCCACCTGTCAACCTGGCTGGACTTTCTCTTTGGAATGGTCTTTTGGTGGTCCCCACAAAAAAGTCCCTCCATTTACCATGCAACCACTGTGACAGATGGACTGAGATGGGAGAAGTCTCTCCCCCAAGGACTGAGACATGAGACCCCCCTAAGCTCCCCCTTCCAAGGACTGAGACTGAAACCCCTATCACGGGGGGGGAAGGTGTGTGTGTGGGGAGGCCAGCTGACCAAAGTGAGATGTTTGCCGACCACTGGACCAAGAAGACAATGGTTCTCGCCCATTGCTGGGAACATGGACTGTTGTATTTGTGTCCCCCTCCTTCACAATTTTCAATAATAAAACCCCCTGAGTTAGCTAGGGATTTTGAGATCTCCCCTGACGTGAATACGACAGGCTTCATCGACTGGGCTTCGAAGGACTACGTTGTTCCACGTCTGGTATCTATACACCTCCTTTCTTGTCCCCTCTTTTTCCTTATTCTTTCCCTTTTCTTCACTCCCCCTCTCCCTAACGCATTTTACTGTGGTCATTTCAATAAAGGTACATTTGTTTTTGATTATAACTGCAATCTCTCCTTGTTGTGTCGGTTTTTTGCACCCTGAGATCAGTAAAATGAATCATCATGAACCCCGTTCACAAGGAGGGATCGTGACAGTCAGTTGGGTGAGAAATTTAGGTTTTGGGGTTTTTAGTATGGTGTAGATAGGAAGCAAGATGCAGGAATTTGGGTGCAGTCCCTGTCTTCTTCCTCTTCATCTACTCCATTTTCTGCAGTTGGTGGCACAGGGTGATTGTTCAAGGAAAGCACAGTGCAGAGGTTACATGGACAGTCAAGGGATGAGTTATTGGTAGATAAGTAGAAATAATTTATGTTTTAAGAGTTAATTGCATGAGACAACTTTAAAAGACCTTGAAACTGCACATTTTGGGGCCATTTTGTGGTGCTTTTCCAGCATGCTGAGCCTGGTGGGCTCAGCATGCTGGAAAACATAACAATAAAGAAGATAACATAACAATAAAGAAGAAGCTGAAGACCAAAATGTCTTGTGCGTCTCCTTTTCCCTGGCACAGAAGTGCTACAGGAGGGTTTCCCCCATTCAGGGAGCCTCCAGAAGGACCCAACGTAAAACAAACATCAATAACTGGTGCCCCGACAATGTTTGTAAATTTTTTTATTTCCATGAAGTTGTTTACTGAAGGGTGTTGTTTTAATTAGCCAAGCATGTGAAATGTGTTGATGAAATGGCCAATGAAGTCCACCTGTAGAAAACCAAGCTTTACAACAAGAGGATTGAAAAAATGGGTGGCGTTTAACCCTTAGCCTTCTGAGTTTGTGTCATCTTGGACCCAACGGTGACATTTGGGGATCTCTGGGGGCTATTGGGGACCCTTACTGCATGCCGTGACCCAACAGGAGCTTCTCCAATAAACTTTGCATGAAGCTCCCACTGTGCCCATGACAGGAACCCCTGGGAGTGTCTGGGACATCCCGGCTCTCCTTACATGCATGAGGAGATTGGAGCTGCTCCGAAACCTCTTCTGACACTGGGCACACTCATAGGGCCTCTCCCCAGTGTGGATGCGCCGGTGTCTGACGAGTTCGGAGTTGTACTTGAAGCCCCTCCTGCAGTCAGGGCAGGGGAAGGGCCTCTCCTCGGTGTGAATCCTTACATGCATGAGGAGATTGGAGCTGCTCCGAAACCTCTTCTGACACTGGGCACACTCATAGGGCCTCTCCCCAGTGTGGATGCGCCGGTGTCTGACGAGTTCGGAGTTGTACTTGAAGCCCCTCCTGCAGTCAGGGCAGGGGAAGGGCCTCTCCTCGGTGTGAATCCTTACATGCATGAGGAGATTGGAGCTGCTCCGAAACCTCTTCTGACACTGGGCACACTCATAGGGCCTCTCCCCAGTGTGGATGCGCCGGTGTCTGACGAGTTCGGAGTTGTACTTGAAGCCCCTCCTGCAGTCAGGGCAGGGGAAGGGCCTCTCCTCGGTGTGAATCCTTACATGCATGAGGAGATTGGAGCTGCTCCGAAACCTCTTCTGACACTGGGCACACTCATAGGGCCTCTCCCCAGTGTGGATGCGCCGGTGTCTGACGAGTTCGGAGTTGTACTTGAAGCCCCTCCTGCAGTCAGGGCAGGGGAAGGGCCTCTCCTCGGTGTGAATCCTTACATGCATGAGGAGATTGGAGCTGCTCCGAAACCTCTTCTGACACTGGGCACACTCATAGGGCCTCTCCCCAGTGTGGATGCGCCGGTGTCTGACGAGTTCGGAGTTGTACTTGAAGCCCCTCCTGCAGTCAGGGCAGGGGAAGGGCCTCTCCTCGGTGTGAATCCTTACATGCATGAGGAGATTGGAGCTGCTCCGAAACCTCTTCTGACACTGGGCACACTCATAGGGCCTCTCCCCAGTGTGGATGCGCCGGTGTCTGACGAGTTCGGAGTTGTACTTGAAGCCCCTCCTGCAGTCAGGGCAGGGGAAGGGCCTCTCCTCGGTGTGAATCCTTACATGCATGAGGAGATTGGAGCTGCTCCGAAACCTCTTCTGACACTGGGCACACTCATAGGGCCTCTCCCCAGTGTGGATGCGCCGGTGTCTGACGAGTTCGGAGTTGTACTTGAAGCCCCTCCTGCAGTCAGGGCAGGGGAAGGGCCTCTCCTCGGTGTGAATCCTTACATGCATGAGGAGATTGGAGCTGCTCCGAAACCTCTTCTGACACTGGGCACACTCATAGGGCCTCTCCCCAGTGTGGATGCGCCGGTGTCTGACGAGTTCGGAGTTGTACTTGAAGCCCCTCCTGCAGTCAGGGCAGGGGAAGGGCCTCTCCTCGGTGTGAATCCTTACATGCATGAGGAGATTGGAGCTGCTCCGAAACCTCTTCTGACACTGGGCACACTCATAGGGCCTCTCCCCAGTGTGGATGCGCCGGTGTCTGACGAGTTCGGAGTTGTACTTGAAGCCCCTCCTGCAGTCAGGGCAGGGGAAGGGCCTCTCCTCGGTGTGAATCCTTACATGCATGAGGAGATTGGAGCTGCTCCGAAACCTCTTCTGACACTGGGCACACTCATAGGGCCTCTCCCCAGTGTGGATGCGTTCATGGTTGACGAGTTCTGAGCTGCACCTGAGGACCTGAGGATTTCCCTCTGTGCATCAGGGAAAGGGAAGAAGATCCCCACAATGCATCCCCAGCAGGACGACATCAGCAATGGGGCTGTCCTCCAGCCAGGGGCGATGCAGGGCTGGGAGATGGAGCAGAAGAGAGGGGGAAAGGGGCACTGACTTCCTCCTCACCTGCCTGCGTGTGCCGGGGCACCTTCCTCTTCCTCGCAATGTCCCCCTGCATCCAGCCAAGGTTTGGGAATGAGAAATCCTGGTTTGGGGAAAAAACAATGTATGAGTACATTGGATTAGGGGGATCTTCCTGCCCAAGTCCATCTCTGTTGTTGCAGCATGTCCACAACGAGCCCCTGTGACCAACCTGCACTCCCAGAGCCCAGAGCACGCTTGCTTAACCTGCTGATGGACAAGGCCAGAGACGGGTCTGTGTGCACAGCTCCAAACGCAGTTTATTGCAATTGGATATTGCAGAGGGTCCAGGGACAGGGACAAA